AGATGGTCTTCCCAATTTTCTATCTCTTGTAATTTTTTTGAAATGTCTGGCCAACTTTTAGTGACAAATTAGAGTTTTAGTGACAAAATAGAGTCCTTGCCCAAGGGGATGATCCAAATTGAGGCCTGCATATTGTCTCATTTGCTCCTTCTGTCTAGAAATCTCAGAAACCCTTCTTCCTTTTCCTGTTGTATATCAAATGCTCTAGAAAGATTTTGGGTTTGGGGTACTGATTCCTGAATTCCTTTTATTATCATCTCCCTAAGGTCCTGCATGTTTTCCTGGCAATCTGCATTGTTTCTGTCCAACTGAGGGTCTTAGACAGGGAATTTCTGGTCCACAGTAGGAATATTTTGACTGGGAGGATGCTCACTTTCCCAAACTACCATAGCAGCCCTATGAATCATACTCCTTTCTTCCCATGAAAAGAGGATGCCCAAGATGAACATTAACTCGACTCAAGCGTGTGACTGCGGTCCTAAAAATGATCAATTTGATCTGCCACTCCATAAGGGCCATCTAGTAGTAGCTTAAGCTCCTTTTCAAAACTCCAGACTTCTGAACTGGTCAAGGGAGCATTTATAAAGCTGATGGCTTCCGCTCTGTATGTGACTTTGTTTAATGCAAAGAAAGCTGGAGCCTACTCCTTAGTTGCAGTGGGGAATGGGAAATTCTGAATATCTTTTTTTTACATTGTTATTCTCATGCTGGAGTCCCTTTAGAGAGGCGTTTTTAGGCTGGCAGGGAACAGGCTCCTGGGATGGTAATTCCCAAGAGTCAGGGTTGTAAGGAGGAGGGATGACAGGAGCAGAGGAGGGATTTGGAACAGGATCTGAGGTGGCAGTGGCTGTCTGAGGGGAAGGATTGGGGACACTGAGCGGGGGAGATGGCTTGTGGGATCCTGTGGGGCTGGAGTCTTTAGGCATGAAAACTGGCTCCTCTAACTTGTTATTTTGAGTGAGCAGATTGGGTTCATCCCTACTTGTTTATAAGGGAAAAAGGAGGACAGGTCCCTGCCTCCAACAAAGAGCATAGTTCAGTTCTTCTTGAGAAACTGAACTTTTATCATTAACATATTGAATTAGAAGCTGACATATTACATCCTCATTCAACCAAAACTGGCCCAAGATTGAGGGTTTGAGGATGGGTACCTGAGTCCAAATAAAACAGCAATATTTTACATTTGTTGCTTTTTCTTATGTTTAGTCCTTTCATTATCCTTCCAGTATTTTAACTGGAGACCTAGGGGGCTATTAAGGAGAATATCCTTGTTACCATCTTTATCATTCTTGCTCCCTCTCTTGCTTGGGGCATTTCCCATGTTGGGTCCTGGTTAGGCTCACTCATGTGAGAGATGTTTCACCTATCCTTTATCCCCACCTGCTGGAGGCTCCTTGCACTCTTCTTGTGCTTTGTCCACTCTGGTCACTCCCCAAGAGGAGGTTTAAGTTCTTCTTGGCATTGGCGTGCCAGTGTAAATCCCATGGCATGGCTTAGGATTCACCCTAAGTCGTATGAGGTGATCATGGAACCACAGATAGGACCCACTCATCCCACACAGCAGTAGTGCTTAGTACTATTTACACAAGCAGCACTGCAAGCAGTAGTGCTTGTGTTCATTCACACACACATTCAACCTCCAGAATATCTCGACCACCAAGGAAATACTTTGTTGGTCTGTGATGTTTCTTACCTTGGTCTGGGCACAGAGTTACCTAGTCACCATGATATGTGAGAATCTTTTCCCCAAGCTGCCGACCTGTTTTTTCCCATGTTGCTGAGAGTCTGGGTTTATTCATTGCACAGGGTGGGTCTCAGTCTCTCACCCTGAAGCCATCACAATGAGGCAGTAGGACATGTCTCCCCACAAGAAGTGACCCATTCCCCAGAGGAGAGTGAGAATCCCAGATGAGCCCCCGAATTTATTAGAAATAAATTTTTGGTGCTGCAAAAGAAATAGCACTCAAACATAAATTTTCTCAGCAAGGCAATTTACTTCTATAGAAAGGTGTATCTCTTGGATGGAGCAATGGCAAGGGCATACCTGAACAAGGAAGGGGAAGGAGTTCTTATCCCTGACACAGGTAACCCCTACTCCTGTGTCATTCCCCAATTGGCTAGGGTTGGATCACACAGTCTAAGTTAATTCCAATTGGCTATTTTAAAGAGAGTGGGATATGAGCCAGTGGTGGGGTGAACAATTTTGGCAGGAAAGATGGTTATGGAACAGGTGACTAAAGGTGATGCAGGTCAGAGCAGGTGAACAGAGGTGACTCAGGACAAAGCAGGTGACCAGGGGTGACTCAGGACAGAGCTAGTGACCAGGGAAACAGATGTGAACTACTGATTAAAGCTTGTGGGAAGGTTGTTTGCTGAAACTAGGGGCAAGGAGATGAGAAAGTTAAACTTTAAAATGTAGAACAAAGAACAAGAAAACTGAACATACTGACACACTGATTCTTTGAAGAGAAACTTAGAACTCACTGTGTTTAACAGCCACAAGGTTACAATTATGGTGGAGGTCTGAACTTGGCTAAAATATAGGCGTAGTAAACAATATCTGGTCATTGTTCTCTAGCTTGCCTTTTTATAATTGCTTACTGCTCAAGATTCTGTACCCAATGCTCACAAATTTTATAACTTCACCAATTACTCTTACATGTAACTTCTGAAACTTGAGACTGGTCTTTGAAATATTTTTCAGACTTTGTATTCTGGTAGACCAACTGATGCCATCCAGACCAATAACCCATACCAAAGAACTGATTCAATTGGTTCTGTGATCCCCACCCATGAAGTGACTCAGAACATGAAGACAGTTTTGACACTCTGGTGATTTCATCCCTGACCAAATCAATCAGCAGTTTGCATTTTTTAGCCCTTCAAACATCAAGTCATCCTTAAAAATCCTAACCTCCAAATTCATGGGATGGCAGATTTGAGAGGTATTGCCAATCCTCCCCACTCAGCTGCTTTGAATTATTAGAATTATTTCTTTGCTACAACACCTACTGTCTCAGTGTATTGGTATTTTCCATGCAGTGAGCAAGAAGAACCTCCCTGATCTGTAACACATGATTTTTTTTCTCTGAGAAAAGTTCTAGTATTATACATTTTTTCTTGCCACTTCTTCCTTTATTTCCCTGTTTTTCAAGAGGTAATGAATGCAAGTGTTTATTTTGAATGAGACAGGAGCACAAGATAAATATCAGTTAATAGATAAGAGTTTACAGCCAATTTTTTTGTGTGCAAACACACTAAATATAATCGGGGCACTAGGACTAAAATTCGATATTTTGTGTGAAAACTTGATGTCTTGAAGCCAGCTAAAAGTTTAATAAAGCTATAAGCAGTTTTCAGATTCATTTAAATGAAGACAGTTACATTACCAAAACACTTTAGTGGGTACTTTGATTGTGGAATAGGGGAAACTACAATCTATTCTTTAGTGGAGTTTTTGGAGGCAATGAGGAGTTAATTACTCCATATAATGGTACTTCATTATCATCAGAATTTTGCCTCAGGGATTATTTCTATAATCTCAAAGGCAGGCCTATGTCTGCAGAATAAGAACACTGTTTTCTCTGCTGTTACACCAGCCCAGAGGAAGGACAGCTTGATCGTGGCGTACATGAGGGGCTGAAAAGAGGTAGATGGTAGGAGACTAAAGAGAAAGAAACCAAATGTTGGGCCATTTTGCCTGAGACAATGGCCTATGGATTGTAGAAACTGTACATCCTTTACGGATATACCCTGGTTAACTCAATCAATATGACTGTACATGTGTATAGTGGAAATGTATCCCAATAGTCATTTATTAACTGTGATCTTAGACATTACTGTCTCAGCTTGTTAGCTATCTACTTTTCTCTTACATGGAAATAATGTTCTCTGTGAAGACAGTGCCCCTTCTTGGGAATATTTAAGAAATACATGGGGACATTTTTGGTTGTCCCAATATTAAGAGAGAGCTGCTATTTAGTGGTTGAAGACCAAGAATATTAGACATCTTGTCATTTTTGAGTGAGTTACATGCAACAGAGAATTGTTTTACCTTCTATTTTACTTGAATGGCCCACCATTCATATAGTTGTAAAGCAAGTTAGTAATCAATCTAATTCTGTGAGATATATAAAATCAAAGCATTTTTTGTACAGTTTTAATGTTCATCGAATATTTCAGAAATGAAATAATTGCATTGTTGGGGCTTAGAAAATGATGCCCCATAATATGGCACCTTAACATGCTGAACTGAAGATGCCACAAGGTCTTTCTGAGCTTCATTCTGCCCCCTATGAAGCCCCCACAACCTGAATCCATCTCTCAATCCTGTGTCTCTAATTTACACTTTGGGTTGGTTGAGCCAGGGTAGTGCTTGCTCAGTGAAGCAAGTTTCTTCAAGTTCAGTTTTTAAAAATGGCATGATTCAGCTGGGCGCAGTGGCTTATGCCTGTAATCCCAGCACTGTGGGAGGCTGAGGCGGGTGAATTGCTGGAGATCAGGAGTTTGTGAACAGCCTGGCCAACATGGTGAAACCCCGTTTCTACTAAAAATAAAAAAACTAGCCAGATGTGGAGGCACGCACCTGTAATCCCAGCAACTGAGGAGGCTGAGGCATGAGAATCACTTGAACCCTGGAGGCAGAGGTTGCAGTGAGCTGAGATCGCATCACTGTACTCCAGCCTGGGCAATAGAGCAAGACTCCATCTCAAGAAAAGAAAAAAAAGGTATAATTCTGAAGCATAGTTATTAATATTTTAAAACTGTTAAAGTTTGAGACAAAATTTCTTCAAAGAGTAAAAGCTACTTTTCTCATTGTTGAATTTTTCAAAGATAATTCTATTGATTAATTTATGATCTTGTTTCACTTCTAATTCAAAATGCAGTCAATTTAGAGTGTCAAACATATATTTTATTGAAATTAGACCATTTTAAACTTGAATGGGTTCAAATACTAGCTTTCTGAGGAAAACTGACAAGTTGCCATTAAAACATTTCTAAGAAAGAAAAATTTCTCTTTTCAATTGGCCCAATATCTTCTTTTATCAGCAGGCAGTTAGAGATCATTACAAATATATTTTTTTCCTCTCCAGAGAAATGCAAAATCTATTTTTTTTGTATTATCCAGAAGAAGGGTACGATTGGACATCTCCTGATTACTTTTTCTTTCCTTTCTTTTTTTGCTGTTTGTCGGGAGCTAAGGTCTTCTTCTCTGTCTCCACCCACATGGCAGCTTCCTGAGCAGCCAGAGCTTCCAGCTTTAGACGCTCAGCTTCCAGCAGTTTGTTTCTGTACTCTTCCCGGATGTTGAAGATCTTCTGTCGGGCTTCATCTAAGGAGTCCTGTTCCAAAGCAAAACCCCAAACAAGTAAGTTCCACTGATAAAGGCTTATGCTCCCAAAAAGGAAAAATGAAATTCCTTTACCCTGTCCTTATGCCCATATATTCATATGCAAAAGTATTGAAGATAAAAATTAGTATATGATCTCAAAAGCTTATCAATACACAAAACATAGCAACAAAGGGATTTTAATACTGTATGGCAAATAAAGCATTTGTAGGAAAAATAGTCCAAGGTAAAGAAAAGCATACATAGTTTGCCAAAGGTATTCTCTGTCTAAATTAGTTCAAATGCAATCTATATAAAGTATTAAGAAGCCCAATTTCATTTGCAAAGTAACTGTGTTCAAGAAATGACTAGTTCCCCACATGTATTCTATCACTGACAAAATATATCTGGACTGTACTTGAGGAAGCTCCAAAGAATATGGCCTAATCCATTGGTTACTTCGTTCTTGACAGGTTGACTTTCATTCTCACTGCGTCAGCAAAACTGTGTTCATCAAGGACATCAAGGACTTATATGTAGCTAAAGCCAAGATCATTTATTGTTCTTATTCTTGTTTAACCACACTCTCTTCTCCTGGATTAACTGACTTCATGTAGCTACTAGATTGTCTTCTATCTCACCAGCTGCTCCTATTCAGTCATCTTTGCTGCTTTCTCCTCTTCTCCTTCATCTTATAAAGTGGAAGTGGCCACATTGTTTACTGTTTCAATAATATAATTAAAGAATAAGGATTAAAGCACAGATGCTAGCCTAAAAAGACCCTTCTAGAAATGACTGCCTTGTCTTAATCCTTGAATCAATCAAGAAATTTTCCATGATTTTTGCAACCAGCTTAATTTTATTCAGATGCTGGAAAAGCTGAATGTCAGAATCAGACTTCCCGAAGTTTTTACCTCAAACAGTATTGTATCTACCATAATAAAACTGGATTGACTAATCCAAATGCATAAGTACATGATGATAGTAGTAACACATTAAAGAGAGAGAGAAAGAGACAGAGAAAAAGAATGAGCAGGAGAGAGACATTTTAAGAAGTTTGTGTAAATAAGTTTAATATAAATCTTATAAAGTTTAATATACATCTTGAGGAAGGAGGACAAAACATACTCATTCTCCTATCTGTTAAGAAATATGTTAATGATCATGTTTCTCTTAAAATGGCTTCAATCAAAGCTAGGGCTATCTCTGTACCTCACACATAAATGAAGGGTCAGAACTCAAAGCTGTCTGAGTTAGTATTTTTTCTCCATTTCCTCTCCAGCTGCTGCATTTACTTGACTATTACACACGAAAACCACAAATAGCAATCCTGAAATTCCCTTTTGTTTTCTAATTTAATTTAAATTATTTCCCACATGATAAATTGAACTTACACAGTTTTAATATTTATTCATTGATTTACTGATTCATTTGTTAAACAAACTTTTAGGAAGCAGACATTCCTCTGAAGTTTTGGGGACACAATAGTGAATCTAACCAGAGTATCTGTCCACATATAGTCTATATTCTAGCAGAGAACAATAAAAAATGACAGCATAGTATTTATATCTACATTTTCATATACCAATACATAAATGCACATGCAGGATAAGTGCTTTAAAGAAAAAAGGCTAGGCGCGGTCACACAAATTTTGAGGGTACTAATTTTGAAAGAGCCACTAGTGAAAATCTCTCTACTACGTGACACTAGATGAGAGATCTCATAAAAGGAAAGCCTCTGGGGAAAGGATATTCCAGGAAGAGAGAGGAGTGAGGTCAAAGGCACAGAGGTGGGAACATGCCTTGCTGTTAGTGGAAAGGCAAAGGCTTGGCAAACGCCAAAGGAGCAAAGGAGGCAAGAACGATCGATAAGAACATCAGAGAGGAAAAGATTTTGGCTTTTTCCATAATGAAACGTAAAGCCATTAGGGAAGTGAAATGATTTCACCTTCATTTTAAATATGCATTATGATAACCATTAGTGTAATCCAAAAAATATTTCTGGTTATCTTCCAGATACCTGGAAGCACTGGCCTCCCTCTTTATTAGTTTGCTGGGGCTGCTGTAACAGAGAACCACAAACTGGGTTTAAAAAATAGAAATGCATTGCCTTGCAGTGCTTGGTGCTACAAGTTTGATATCAAGGTGTCAGCAAGGAAGGTTCCTTTTTTGAAGCTGTACGTGACCATGTGACTTGCCGTGGTCAGTGAAATGTGAGTGCAAATGAATGTGCAATTTCTGGGTAGACGTAGTCACAGCCAATGTGCAGTTCCCAATGTTCTCTTCCCGTGTTGTAATAATCATGGTAGAAGTGTCTCTATAAAAGCTCCTTCAGCCTGGTTATCTTGATAAATAGAAGGATGCTCTATTGAACCACATTGGACACAGAGCTAGAATGACATATACTGTTTTACTGTTTTTAGCCAGAGTTGGCAAACTAAGGCCTGTAAAGTAAATCTGACTTATTTCTTGTTTTTCTAAGTGAAGTTTCATTTATTTTAGTATTCTCCTATTTATTTAGGTATTATCTGTGATTTTGTGTAAAAAATGGCAATGTTGAGTAAATGCAACATAAATACTTACTGTTTGGCCCTTTATAGTAAATAAGTTTGCCAAACACTATGTTAGGCCACTGTAACATTGGGGTTTTTGTTGGCATAGGATAAACCTAGTTTGTCTTGATTGGTACAATTGTTTTGGTGGCAAAGTGGAGACTACTTTGTGGAGGGGCAAAGACAGAAGCAGTTAGATCAGTAACTGGGCTGTAGCAATCCTCTGAATAAGAATGACAGGTTGGGCTAGGGTGGTGGGAACAGAGATAGTGAGAAATCATCAGATTTTGGATGTATTTTCAAGGTAAAGTTGAGAGGTTCTGACAAAGGATCATCAGTGTGGAGACAGAAGTCGAGGATGTCTCCACAGTCTCTGCTTGAGCAACTGAAAGAATGCAAATGATACTGACTGAGATGGAATATCTTGGTGTGGTGATTGACATGTTTGTGCTGAGATGGGAAGGAGGGCAAGCATTCTTGAGTTTGGATTTAGAGAGGTTCTGTTTGTGGTGCCTGCTGGACAAACAAGAAGAGATGTCAGATGGGCACATTCCTCACACGGGCCATTACTAGAAATGACAGTCTCACCTTAGCTAAAATAGGATGTCCTATTGGCTTTAGTGTGTTCTGGAATGTGTAGGGGTGTGTGTGTGTGTTTGTGTTGAAGGGAAGAGGGAGAAAAAAAATTCTCATTATCCATATTATCCATAGCAGGATGTTCTCCATATGCATTTATTGAATTTCCCATTTTCTAGTATGATACTCCCATTTTCAACAAAGTGTCTTACACAATGTAGAAATCCTTTTTTATTTGTTGCCATCTCTAAAGGACATCTATTCTTCTGCTGGGGTGAAGGGATGACAATAATCTGGAGGCAAAAAGTTGAAGTGTTGATTTGTGATCCCTAAATGGCCTTAAGGTGAACAAACCCAACTATTTTCATCTTCCTCCTACTTCACTTTTACTTCCTAACATTATCTAGTGACACCATTTGCTGAGCCTTTTGGGGATTCTGTAGGAATTCTATGGAGCCAAGTGGCTTGTTAAGAATTTTCCCACTGTCAGTTTAGCAGTTGTGAGTCTCAAGTTGGTTAATGTGATCTTCATCCAGTTATTTTCCAACTTGAACAAATAATTGTGTTGTCTTCTCTCCTATGCTTCCCGTCTCTGAGAACAGACTCGCAATACTGCATTTTAGGGGAATTTTAGGGAGGGAGTGTGATGAGATGTGTAGAATCAATTTGTGATGTTTTCCTAGATGTTGTGAATCACAGAAACCTGTGTTTTCAGGACTTATTTCTATACAAGTATGATTTAATTATATAATTTCTTTTTAATATCATGAAAGAATTTGCCAACTATAATTTATGTATGTACTCTTAGACTCACCCGCATTTCCTTATACATATCCAGGACTTCATCCTTTAACTTCAACCGCTCTTCTTGGTCAATGTTTCTAATGCTAAGGACTCGAGTCCTATGCTGTCGAAACTGATGAATTTCTTCTGCCTTCTGCATTGCCTGCTGCTGATTCAGTTCATCCGTTTGCAGCAGAGGATCTGCATCTGTTTTCCTTGATACAAAATTATCAAGAGATACAAATTTCATTTGGGAACTCTGGAATAAGCTTAGACCGCAAATAATTTCAAATCACATCAACAGTGTGGTGGTCTGAGTCAAATAAAACATTAGGGATAGAAAAAAATAAACAGTTACTTTCTAGATATGCTATCCTCCGTGTATTGAGTCACTGATATTTTAGGAAAATATTTTGGAGAATATCAGTAAATTTGGATTCACCGCTTGATGGAGTGATTGTGGAATTTGTGTTCAAAACTATGAGAATACCTTGTAGGTTTTCCTTTTGAATTTATGTAGCTAAATAATTTTGACAATGTTTTCAGACTTATAAATATGCCTAATATCTCTATTAATCCTATCATCTAATTATTAAAATTGAATCTGATTAAATAATGGCAGCAGGTGTGATGGGATTTTTTTGTAGCTTATCTCACCTTAATCAGCCCTCAAATTAAATCTTTACAGAAAACATTTAAATATTTTAATAATTGACTTAACAAAATATTGGCATATTTGAGATTTAAAATTATGTACTTCTAAAAGTTTAGACACATTGAGGATATATTAAGCATTTAATTTCAAATTTTCAGTCATTTAGCAACTGCATATTGTCAATGTTTCCAAAATTCCATGAACACAGTTGTCTGCATCAATCATGTTTATGAAAACTTACCGTACATATTGGCTTAAATCTGTAAATTCTAGTGCTTTCCGAATAAGTCGTGGAGATGTTTCCAAAATTGTTGGAGATCGTGAACGAGGTCCCATTTCTTAAAAAAAACCCACACATACTCAACAAAAAGAACTTAGAAAAATAATCAATAATGATGAACTAAATGAATATATCTCATTTTAATTGAAAATAATATTTTCTGTTGAAAAACAACCATTGATTAGACTTGTCTTATTTAATATAATGTTAATAATATATAATTATATATTTATATTTTATGTTTATCCTCTAGCTGGTGTTCCTATGCTTTTAGTTGAATGAAGGAGATAACAAAATTAAAAAATTAACAAAATGCTATTCTATTCACAGTTAGATGAAGGAGGAGTCGTCTCCATTAATAAGAACAATTCTTACGTTAAGTTACAAAATTTCATTACAAGTTAAATGGCCCATTACAAGTTAAATGGGTTATGCCTGAATGCTACACCAAGTACTACTGGGGTTAGGATATAAACAGATTTTTTTACATATTTATACTGAAATACTGAGAACAGTATTTTACCTTCAATAAACTTATAGTTCAGTAGAGGAGGCAATATATAAAAGAGAAACACTGAAAATCAAATTAGCAGCAGTTTTTAATCCACAGACCAATAGTGAGCCCACAAGAACAGATTTCAGAGACTGCAGAGTCTAGGTTATTAACTTTTCAGCATTTCTAGACCACTGATTTTTTTTTAAACTCACACTGAAGTATAATTTACATACATAAAATTCAGCCATTTAGGGTTCTAATTCAATACTTCTTTGTAAATTTACCAAGTTGTGTGACCATCAACAAAATCGAGTTTTAAAACATTTTAGAATCCAAATAAGATCTCTCTTGTGTCCTTTAATAGTCACTTTGTATTCCCACCACAAACTCTGGGCAATCATTAATCTATTTATGTCTCTATAGATTTCTCTTTCCTGGACATTTCATGTCAGTAGGAGTGAATTACTGGGTCATATGGTAAAATTATTTGACTCTTAGAGAAACTGTCAAACCATGGTGTTTTGATCATTATTTTTAAGTTTTTGACCAGTTCTGAAATTACATAGTAAAAATCTCTTCACTTGGTTCATTAAAAAACATTTATTTTTAAAAGCAGTTTTAGGGCCAGGCACATTGGCTCATGCCTGTAATCCCAGCACTTTGGGAGGTTGAGGCTGGTGGATCACATGGTCAGAAGTTCAAGACCAGCCTGGCCAAGATGGTGAAACCACATCTCTACTAGAAATGCAAAAATTAGCTGGGTGTCATGGCAGACACCTGTAATCCCAGCTACTCAGGAGGCTGAGGCCAGAGAATTGCTTGAACCCGGGTGACAGAGGTTGCAGTGAGCCGAGATCATGCCACTGCACTCCAGCCTGGGTGACAGAGTGAGGCTGCATATAAAAATAAAAATAAAAAAAAAAGCAAAATGCAGCTTTAGGTTCAAGGTTCACAGTAAAATTGAGAAGAAAGTACATACAAAGATATCCCATATCCCCCTTCCTTGTACACACACATAGCTTCCCCGATTATCAACATCCCCAACCAGATAGGTACATATATTACACAATCACACCATCTGCTAACAAATAGTTTTCTTTCTTTCTTCCCAATCAGTACATCTTTTTAGTTCATTTTCTTGTCTTATTGTACTTTCTAGGAGTTCTCATACATGTTGAAAAAGAGTAGTAAGAGAGGACATCTTTGGCTTGCTCCTGATCTTAGCGGGAAAGCTTCTAGATCCTCACTTTATTTTTGAGACAGAATATTGCTCTATTGCCAGGCTGGAGTGCAGTGGCGTGGTCTTGGCTCACTGCAACCTCTGCCTCCCGGGTTTAAGCAATTCTCCTGCCTCAGCCGCCCCCGTACCCTGAGACTACAGGCACGTGCCACCACGCCCAGCTAATTTTTGTATTTTTAGTAGAGATGGGGCTTCACCTTGTTGGCCAAGATAGTCTCCACCTCTTGACCTCCTGATCTACCTGTCTCAGCCTCCCGAGTGCTGGGATTAGAGGCGTGAGCCACCGTGCTAGGCCCTGATCCTCACCATTAATAAGATGTTAGCCATAGTTTGTTTGTTTGTTTTGTAGAGAATCAGGTTGAATAAGTTTCCCTCCTACTTGGATATCCTTTTTCAAAATAATTTTGGCTATTCCTGGTTTTTTTGCATTTCTATATAAGTTTTGGGATTAGCATGTCAAATTCTGTAAAATGTCTACTGTGATTTTGATAGAGATTACACTGAATTTATAGATCAATTTGAGCGGTATTACTATCTGAACAATATTAGGTCTTCTAGTCCAAAGTATAAACAATCTCTTTATTTAGATAATTAAAAATGTCCTTTAGTGATGTTTTGTAGTTTTCAGTACATAAATTCTGTACTTGGTTAAATTTATTTCCATGTATTTATTATTGATGCTGTTGTAAATAAAACTGTCTTCTCAGTTTCAATTTTGGTTGTTCATTAGTAATATGTAGAAATAAAAATGATTTATGTTTACCAACCTTACATCATGTGACCCTGCCAAACTCACTCACTCATTTTTTTTTTTCTGATTCCTTAGGATTTTAGTATACAGGATAGTGTTGTCTGAGAATACAGTTTTACTTCTTCATTTCTAAGATTGATTTGTTTTATTTCTCTTTCTTGATTGAACTAGCAAGAACCTCCATTAAAATGTTGAATGTTAAGTGGTGACAGTAAACATGCTGCCTTGTTCTTGACCTGAGGCTGAAATTATCCAGTTGTTCACCAGCAAATATGATATTTACTTCAGGTTTTTCATAACTATCCTTTATCAGTCTGAGGAAATCCCCTCGTATTACCAGTTTGTGAGTTTTCTTTCTTCTTTTCCTTCTACTGTGTGTGCATTGTCATATACATTTGGACATTATAAGCCCAATAATATAGTTTTATAATAATTATTTGTTAAGTAAAAAATGGAAAATCTATTTATGCTGTCTTCTAAAATTTACCTACATAATTACTTTTCTTTGTGGATGTGAGCGGCCTTTGGCTGTCTCTCTTTCAGCCGGAACGACTTCCTTTAGTATTTGTTTTAAGGCAGATCATCTGGAAACAAACTATCAAGCAAGCACAAACCAGTGCTTGTTTATGGTGAACGTGTTTAAATTTGCCTTAATTTGTATGAATTTTCCTCATTTCCTTTGTTTTCTCTTTTAAAAATTTTTTATTCCTCCTTATTTCTTTAGGCCTACTTTATTACTTTCTCCCCAACTTGGTTTTTATTTTCACTGCTGAATCTCCAGCTATTTAGCTATTTATTTATTTTCAGTAGGTTTTTTGGGAACAGGTAATGTTTATTTACATGGATGAATTCTTTAGTGGTGATTTCTGAGATTTTGGTGCACCTCAGCTATGTACACTGTACCCGATGTGTATAGATACCACATTTATATGTATATATATATACACACACACATCTATATATATATATGTGTGTGTATATATGTATATCACATTTTCTTTATCTTCTTGTTGGTTGGTTGACGGGCATTTGGGCTGATTCCATATTTTGCAGTTGCGAATTGTACTGCTATAAACATGCATGTGCTAGTATCTTTTTCATATAGTGACTTATTTTCCTTTGGGTAGAATAGTGGGATTGCTGGATTAAATGGTAGATCAACTTTTAGTTCTTTAAGAAATCCCCACACACTGTTTTCCATGGTGGTTGTACGAACTTACATTCCCACCAGCAGTGTAAAAGTGCTTCCTTTCCACCATGTCCATACCCACATCTATTATGTTTTGGTTTTTTTATTGTGCCATTCTTACAGGAATAAGGTGGTATCACATTGTGGTTTTAATTTGCATTTACCTAGTAATTAATGATGTTGAGTATTTTTTTCATATGTTTGTTGGCCATTAGTGTACCTTATTTTGAAAATTGTCATTCATGATCTCAGCCCACTTTTTGACGGAGTTATTTCTTTTTGTTTTTCTTGCTGATTTGTTTGAGTTCCTTGTAGATTGTCGATATTAGTCCTTTATCGAATGCATAGTTTGGGAAGAATTTATCCCACTTTGTGGGTGGTCTGTTTACTCTGTTGATTATTTCTTTTGCTGTGCAGAAGCTTTTTAGTTTAATCAAGTCCCATCTATTTATCTTTGTTTTTGTTACATTTGCTTTTGGGTTCTTGGTCATGAGTCTTTGCCTAAGCCAATATCTAGAAGGGTTTTTCTGATGTTATCTTCTGGAATCTTTATGGTGTCTGGCCTTAGATTTAAGTCTTCAATCCATCTTGAGTTGATTTTCGTATAAGATGAGAGATGAGGATCCAGTTTCCTTCTTCTACAGGTGGCTTGCCAATTATCCCAGCACCATTTGTTGAATAGCGTGTCCTTTACCCATTTACTGTTTTGTTTGCTTTTTGAAGATCAGATGATTATAAGTAATTGATTTTATTTCTAGGTTCTTATCGTGTTCCATTGTCTACATGCCTGTTTTTATGCAAGTACCATGCTGTTTTGGTAAATGTAGCCTTATAGTATTGTTTGAAGTTGGGCAATGTGATGCCTCCGGATTTGTTCTTTCTGCTTAGCTTTGCTTTGGCTAAGCAGATTGGTGATGCTTTGGCTATGCAGGCTCTTTTTTGGTTCCAAATTAATTTTAGAAGTGTTTTTTCTAGTTCTGTGAAGAATTTTGATGGGAATCACATTGAATTTGTAGATCGCTTTAGGCAGTATGGTCATTTTGACAATATTGATTCTACCCATCCATGAGCATGGGACGTGTTTCCATTTCTTTCTGACATCTATGATTTCTTCCAGCAGCGTTTTATAGTTTTCCTTGTAGAGCTCTGTCACCTCCTTGGTTAGGTATATTCCTAAGTTTTTCTTTTCTTTTCCTGGCAGCTCTTGTGAAAGGAATTGAGTGCTTGATTTGCTTCTCAGCTTGGTTGCTACCGGTATATAAAAGTGCTACTCATTTGTATACATTAATTTGTATCCCGAAACTTTACTGAATTCATTTATCAGATCTGTGAGCTTCTTGGACGAGTCTTAAGGGTTTTCTGGGTGACGGCAAACAGTGACAGTTTGGCTTTCATGGTACACATACAAAATTTTCTTTATCTAGTCTGCAACTGATGGGCATTTAGATTGCTTCCATGTCTTTGCTATTATGAGTAGTGTTGCAATGAACATTCACATGCATGTGTCTTCATGGTAGAATGATTTATATTCCTCTGGGTGTATGCCCAGCAATGGGATTGTTAGATCAAATTGTTGAACTAATTTTGCTTCTTTCTAAGATATCCTTCTTTGCTCCCTGGGTTCAAAATAAGTAGAAAAATAAGTAGTAAGATTATACTATTGATCCAGGTTTAATCAGAGAATGTAGCTTGATGTGAGAGACAAATGGGCTATGATCACCCGGAGCTGAGTGACTCTTCAGAACAGTCTAGTAGTGTTCTCAACTGGGGGAGGAGCAGTGCTTCCATGGGTACCCTAGTTTATTCTCTCCAAATGCATTAAGAGCACATTTAGTCCTCTTTAAGACAGAAGGAGTTGAGGAGTTACTTAAGAATTATCCTTCCTCACAAAAACCAGGAGTGTGGAAAGGCATTTTCCTTTGATCAGGGATTTAGGTTCAGTTTAGTGAACAGATGTGAATCCATATGGAAATGAATCAAGTCAGGGTTACTTGTGCACCACTGAAAACTGCTCTTTTTCAACGTTTAAAATTTGCTATTAAAATTTGTTATTAGAGATAAGATGAAAATCTGTTATGTAGCATGCTACAGATAACACAGAAGAATCTGTTTAACAACAAGTGTATGTGTGAATGCTGGCCTCTTACTTTTCAGCATTTGTAGACAAAGAAAGCCAATACACGGAAAAAATATAAATGCAAATTTGTGGGGAGAGTTTTGCCCACTTTTATCTTTTGGTTAAAGTTTTTAGTAATCAGGTCCTTGAGCAAATTCCCAACTATGTTAAGTAAAATTTGTGGGGAGAGTTTTGCCCACTTTTATCTTTTGGTTAAAGTATTTAGTAATCAGGTCCTTGAGCAAATTCCCAACTATGTTAAGTAAAATGAAAATCTGTAAACCCAAAAGACATCTTTTTCCACTTTTATAGCCCTAGCTGTCACGTTTAAGTTAAAATTTTTCCACAATTTTTTTTTGAAAATACATGTTTATCTTATGAATGACAACATTACTTACTAATGTTTCCCTTTCGCGTGGTCTGCTCGCGCTCTTCCTTCCCTGGTGAAGACGCTGCTCCCCTTTCGCTGCTCGTGGATTTTGCCAGATCCCTCAAGCCCTTGGTCAAGTGCCACTTCTTCCACACTGCATTCCCTGATCCTATTTGTGGCTCTGAACCTGCAGAATTCTTTGAGTCTGGCTCTTTTACACCACTTGCAGGCATTTCTGTTACAACATCACATGTGCATTACTGAAAAAGCTTGCATTCCATGAAATCGCATGCAAAAAGAAACAGGGCTTGATGATTGGAGCACAGATTTAGAGCAGATGACTCAAAAGCTCTGTAACTTCTAACCAGAGTACCAGTCAAAGTAACTGTCACCCTAGAAGGGTGACCCAAGCAGGAAGTGTGTCTGGAAACTGCCTCATATATCAAAATGTCACAGAAAAATCAAGGCTTTTAGAAGTTGGGATGATATAAATGGAAATGGGATATTCAAATTATTGGGGCTGCTGTGAAGGTGGGCTCTGGAGGAGCTGCAACCAGCTCTACGCTGAGAATGGTCCATAATAAACGGGGTGATCCTCTCTGCGCGAGGATCCCTGCATGCAAATATTTACTTAAAATTGTCTTAAAATAGAGCTGAACGGAACTCTTTCTTGTGAAGTCATAAAGCTGGCAAGTCTTTTCTTGATACTCTGATTCTATTCAGTGCTCCAGATCCCTAGCCTAGGAAAAACTGTGTACAATCTACCACAATTTCTACATTACATGTAGACATTATTTTCCTATATATCAATTGCAGGTGACCAAATTCATGTTATATTCTGCACTGAATGAAAGGTGGCAATAGGAAAGGACTTAAGAGCGTGAAGAAATGTTGAAATACAAGGCAGACATTCAGTAGTAAAAAGTCGATTCCTTAAAAGTATTATTAAAGCTGATGCATCCCTAGAGCAAGACTGATTGAGAAAAAAAAAAAAGAGGTTAAAAGGAAACTTATTCTGGTAAATTGAACTTACATAAAATAAACACAGTTCTTAAAAAATGCAGTTTACTATTCCAGACACAGTAAGAAATAAAACAACTAAATAGTGAGACATACAGGGTACAGATGAGTCTAAAATGAAGTTCAAGAATAGGCGAAATTATCTGATGGTGATGGAGGTCGAGCTAGTTGTTACCTTGAGGGAGGAAATGACTTGGAAACAAATGAGGAGGACTTTCAGTATGTGGTGTTTTCTCTCTTGATGTATATACTGGCTACTGAGTGTATTCACATGCAAAAATTAATCAAGCCGTACAGTTAAAATTTGTGCCTTTTATTGTGTGTATGTTCTATGATAGGGTGAGGCTCTCTGAGCCCTGTTCTCAGCTAGGCCTTGTCCTTGGCCTGCTGACCCCAGTTTTAGTAAAAAAAAAAATCCTGCTAGGTCAGTTTATCCAGAATCCTTCCACCCTTGAAATCTAATCAAGTTCCTCTTTCCTGACCCTTGATACCTAACCAAGTTCCTCTTAGTAATTTACCATCTACTCCCTCACCTGGACTGTTGGTTTAAAACCCTCACATGTTCCTGTTGCATCTACAGTTGAATTCGATCTCTCTCCCCTACTTCAATAGTCTGGAATTAAGTCTTTTGGACATTTTTAATGTATCCAGTGTAATATTTTTTACACATACATTAAAACAAAATATAAAAAATAATAATACATCTACAGCCTAAAGGACAAGAACTGAATCCTATTCACTTTTGTTTTCCTTGTATTACATTAGAATCAATTAGAGGAGTGAGTACTTGAAGAGTTGGAAATATTTCAAATCCCAACTTCATCAGTTTTGAGATGTATGACTTAGGAAGAATAAGGTGGCTCTCTGAGCTCTGGTCTCTTTATCTCCAAAACAGGAAGAGTAAGTAATACATGTCTCATAGTTGCTATAGGTTAAAGTGAGATAATAAATGTAAAATGCTTTGCCTATCCCAGGATAACAGACTTAGGATGGTATTTGCTATTCACATGTTCATATGAACAGTTAAGAGATATTATGTTTATAACAATTATTTAATTACATTGCTGAATATATTAAAATGTAAAAGCATGATTTAGGATGTAAATGCCTTCTGCCTCCAAGGACACCCCAGTGTGTTGAGAGATGCAGTCAGTCAAGTAGCTGAGAGAAGACACTGGCATCCTGAAGGGGCTGTCTGCAGGCTAATTCTGTCTCTGGCTCTGAACTTAGAATATTACTGAGGGTCTCTGGTGTCTGTGTCCTTACTGATAAATTAGAGTAATATAATATATACTTAAATGGGTTGATATGAGTATGACTTCTTGTTATTATTTATGATTATTATTAGAAAGCACAAGATTTATAGTAGTAGACCTACCTTCAAGTTTTATACTGCTACTTTCTAACTAGGTTGCATCATTCTTTCTGGTTTTATCATTTCTTAAATGGAGAAAATCATATCTACTTGCACAGTGTGTATGGGGTGGGGAGATGTAGGTCTTAAATGGGAAATGTGTGAAAGTGATTTGAAATGGAAGCACTGTTCATATAGTTGTCTGATACTGTGTGACCTTTTATAATCCCCAAGAAAAGAGATTCTGAAATGTCTCCTTTTTGCCAGGCACAGCCCACCGATTATTTGTTAAGAAGCACAAGTCACAGCTCTGTGCCCTGAGGGGGCTGGGGCAGGATTCACTGACCTTCTTCTGTCCGTTTAGTTTGGCTTGCAGATATAGGCGGACTCTCAGCATCAGATGCTTTCTTAATGAACCCGCTAAGGTAATGCAAACGAGCCTGAGAAGCCTAAAGAACAAACAGGCGCAGCTTTTTAAAAGCTCTTCAAAAGCAACTACCAGTACGGGTAATACATATAAATAGCATTCAATCAAAAATGAAACAGGAAAATGTGAATTAAATAGGCAGTCTAAATGAAGCAGGCCAGCTCTTCATTATCAGATAAATTCTGAATCATCCATGATTTTGGCAGTTATTTTTGAGAATGGATGAATAGGCAGCTGTAGAAAGAATACATTTCTGGGTGTACTATCTTAGATGCAGAAGCTCCTGAATCTTTTTCATCTGTCCCAATAACCCTGAACTGTGTCATGAAGCACTTACACAGTAATAGTGTCACTATGGCAATCACTCAGAGCAAATAGAAAGGGGAGAAAGAGACTAGGTGTGTGTATTCCACAAGGGGGCAGCACATGGTTATTAATTCATCTAATGCTGTGGAAAGTGTAGTAAAACAAATACTAAATATTTAGATGCTTTCTTATTTGGGACTGTTGAAGGCAGATGTGCAGATAGCCAGGGCTATGTGAAAGAATGAGGTAATCCATAGTTTGGGCCTACAAGTGGGAGGGTAACATTTTATAATGTGTCCAAAGGTGGTCTTAACATATGGTTATTCAATGTCTGTCTGATAACATTTCAGATACCATTACTAAATAACAGATTCTATGGTTTCACCACATGACAATTTTTTTTCGGAGCATACTTAAGGAGGAAAAGTAAAAGATGACAGCTTTTCGAAGTCAGGTGACCTTGATTGCTCTTCCTGGCTCAGTTGTCTCCCAGGCTTGTTTCATGGCTCGGATTTCATCTGCCCGTTCTGTATCCTTTTTCACTTCAAATAATTCTGATTCATTGTGTTCAGTGACCAGCCTCAGAATCCAATAGGGCTTATTTGGGTCTTCTTGTTGAGTATGAACAGTGGATGATATCTGATAAAATAAAATAAAAACTCTTGGGTTGCATGCTTTCCTCCTTTCAAAAGGGTCTAGATTTTACCTTATGATATATAATTCAACTATTAGGTATTTATTAGAGATAAATAAAAAATATATATTCACAAAAGACTTGCACAAAAATGTTCATTGTAGTCTTATTCATAATAATGCACACAAGAAACCAACACACATGTCTATCAATCGAGGAATGAATAAGCAAATTGTAATATAGCCATATAATTGGGAACTGCTTAATATTTAAAAGTAATAAGCTACTGACATATACCACAGGAAGATATTATACTTAGATAAAGAAGTTGAGCACAAAAGGGTACCTCATCTTGCATGTCATTTTTATGAAATTCCAGAGCAATTTAGGCAAAACTAATCTATGGTGACTGAAAGATCAGCTGTTACCAGATGAGATGTAAGAATTAGAAAATTGAATGCGAGGAAGTTTGAGATAATTCCTGAGCTTATGGAAATAATCTATAATTTATATCTTGATAGGGGCATGGATTACATGGTGAATACATGTGTCAAAAACTCACTGAATTTTACAGCTGCAATTTGTGCATTTCACTGTATGCAAATTTTCCTTAAAAACTGTCTACATTAAATTCTAAATTGTATTTATGTTCACTCATAGCATCTCTTCACCAAAATTAGAGCAGGATAGTTGATCATTTCCAGGTCTGTATGTACTTGCTATATATTCATTATGAACATTAACAATATTTTAATGTCTCATGGGGTCACCTGCATGGACCATAGGCTGGGAGACAACGTTTACATAGGTGAGGTTCATAGGTGGCAACTGGGTAGGAAGAGAGGCTTGAAACTAATGTGGTTACACAGCACTTTACATAAGGTTGAGACTGTCAATTATCACTGATCAATAATGCAGTTGGGGAAGAGGGGATTGGTATAATCACTGGCTACAGTTTCCACCTGCAGTTTGGTTTCAGTGTTACCAAAATGACCTTGCTTTCTACAGCATTTCCCTAATATTCTGGTAAGACTCAACTTTCACAAGTGGAAATTATTTTATTTCCTCCTTTTAACACAGAGTGCATTAGCTTTTATAACTTTTAAAATTGCTTAATAAATGAGTTTATCAGAAACTTTTCTGGGATCAAATCTTGATCAGGAAAGGAAGCGCTGTGAAGATACCAAGGGAGGTCTTCTTGTAGAAATCTACGGATTGGATTAATCTTACTTTACTTCCAAGGGTAGACTTCAGTAAGAAATAAAAGCTTTGAAATCTCTAGGAACCATTCCTGGAGTCTAAACAACAAGTCATCATGTCTTCTTATTTGCTAATTTTCCTTTATTGTCTGTTTTTCTAATGGTACTGACATCCTCCTTAGCTATTCCTGCTGCAAACCTGAGAGAGAAACTTTGTTCCTTGTTCCTTAACACCCACTTTGGGTTGATAACTACACTCTGCCTTTTGTTTCCTAGATAGCTCTTGGTCTGTCCTGCCCTTCCTTTCTTTTTTCCTGTTCCTGACACACTTTGGACTCTTTTGCTTAGACGACTGAAGTACTTTCTTGAATTCTCTTCATCTCCAGTCTTTCCTCCTTTAGTCCACACCCTTAAAAGCCATGAGGGTATCTGAAATGTAAATCTGATCATGTTAATGTGCTTCTTAAATCCCCCAAGTTCCAGTCCTGCTTAACCTAGGCATAAATGGTGGGAAGATTTGGTTCTCACAGGCATTTTGTTTAGAGTGCAGTGTTTTTAAGTAACTTGGAATTCTTTAGGCCTGTGCTTGTACTCCTCAAGTTTGCCATCCACATCCTCTTCCTTATTCTTCATTACTACAATTTTCTAACGGGCCCTGAAGGAGTTTAGACTCATGACCTCTGGACTGTGTATAGAGTCCCAGCCTTCCAGTGAAGCTTTAAGGCCCTCTTCCAGCTGACCCTTACTGGCCCCTGGAGCCTCATCTCTAATACTTGAATGCTTTAAAAAACCATTTTGCGTTGATTTTCATCTCATCATGTCTTTGCTTCTTAACTGAGTTCAGAACTCAGTTCCTCCTGGAAGAGGCTAGATCACAACCTATCTTTTCTACACTGTACATACAACATTCAACATTGTAATTCTCAGTTTACCGTCAGTCTCCCCCATTATTGGACTGCGAATTCTTTTAGGGTTGGTGCTAAACATATTTATCTTAGAAACCCAAGTGCCATGAATAGTGTTCTACATACTAAATATTTAATTGATGGTTTTTGATACTGAACTAGAAAAGGGAGTTTGGGGAAGGTGTCCAAGGAATGTCTGCAAGGTATCTAGATGATTTCTGGAATCAGGGAGAAAGAATGTGTCACACAGTTTTGTCCTCAGAAGAGATAGGCAAGTAGGCATCCGGTGAACGTAAAATCATTAAGTGACTCCAATAAAAAAATTTTACACCCACCTGAGGGTCAAAGCGAGGTGCTTGTTTTTCTTTGGCTGCCTTTTCTTTCTCAGAAGACTTTTCTTTGCCTTTCCTTGTTATTTTGGAAGTTACTGAAGATTTTTGTCCCTCACTAATAGTGTGGGAATCTGGGCTTCCTAAGGTAATTAACTCCTCATGTTTTTCACCATGAACTAGAAAGGCATAAAAATAAAAACTGGTAAGTCATAATATAACAATAAAATAGTTTCACAAAGGACAAGGGAATCAACTCAGGGAAATGTGGTTAAGCTATCAGACTTTTATTTTTTTAAAAAAACAGATTTTTATAAAGGTCTGTTTGACTCCTTTTCATAAAATTTACATATAATTAATGTACCATACACTCACCATTGATATGGATAAATCAGTAGGCTTTGGCATATTTATAAGACTGTGTAACCATCACCACTATACAATTTATTTCCAATATGGATGCCTTTTATTTCATTCATTGCATAATTGTGTTGGCTAATACTTGTAATACAATATTGAACTCATTTACCTGTGCTTTAATCTTTATTATTACCTTAATTCTGCTTGGTTTGGACATAGTTTTCTCTTATTTTTCTAGTTTTTTAAGATGGAAGACAAGTTACTGATTTGTGATCTTATGTCATTGTAATGCAAGCATTTGTAGTTATATAGTTCTTTCAACACCACTTTTACCAAATCCTCTGGTTTTCTAAAATTCATTCCCAAGAATTTCTTAGTTTCTCTTGTGATTTCTTCCTTGATCCATTGATTAAGAGTATGTTGTCTAATTTTCACATATTTGTGAGATTCTCCAATTTTTTTCTTATTGCTTTCTACTTCCTTTCAATTGTAACCAGAAAATATATTTGATTAATTTCCATAGTTTTACTTTTATTTAGACTTGTTTTATTTATTTATATATGGTCTATATTGCAGAATGTTCCACATGCCCTTGAGAAGAGTATGCATTCTGCTATTGTTGAGTAGAGGATTGTAAAAGTATCTGTTAGCTCAAATTGGTTTAAGTTGTTCAAACCTTCTATTTCCTTACTAATTTTTTGTTTAGTTGGTCTACTCATTATTAAAATTTGGGGTATTAAAGTTTCCAACTATTATTGTTGAATTGTCTATTTCTTCTTTCAATTCTGTCAGTTTTTGCTTCATGTATTTTGAATTATGTTGTTAGGTTCATGTATGTTTACAATTGGTATATTGCTTGATGAAGTACCCAATTACCATTATAAAATATCCTTTTTTTGTCTCTATTTTTTTTTAATGTGGAAAAAGATATTCAAAGTGTACTATTAACACAAAAAGAATTCAGTAGCACTAGGTCATTCCTTTAGGCTTCAGTTATTTTATCCACAGGAAGATGAATTAACAGTAAATAAAACCAGTTCTTTTTGTGTACCAGTGAAAAAAATCTCAAAATTATTAAACTCAAATAACAAATGCTAACATGCTGCATTAGGCTCCCCTGCTCCTCTGGTATACAGTATTTTCACTCTTAGGTGGTCCCTTTCTCAGTTACTCGGCTCCTTGTTGGTTCTATCCTTACTCTCTCCACAAGATATATAAGCAGAGAATAAATAAGTAAATATTTTTAAAGCAGGGGTTGAAACCCCTGCCCTTTTCCTTTCTACCTCTTAGAAACCTTCAGCTCTCATTTGCATACTTAGGACCGGAGACCAACTTACTAAGGGAAGCAGGGCCCATAAGGAATGAACAGGGTACGGAGAGCCTCAGCTTCTTTCTGTGGTGGTGGTGATTCCGGAATATGCCATTGACGTGGGTAAAAGGTTGGAAATGTCAGATTAACATTTTTAATCTTAGACCCATTTGTCTGGTATTCATATAGCCACTCAGATCTCTTTTGGTTACTCTTTTCATGGTACTGTTTTTTCCACTTTTTTGCTCTCAAACTATTTGTATTTTTGAAACTGAAGTGCGTTGCTTACAGAGAGCATATAATTAGGTCATATGATTGTTGGCCTTTTAGCCATTCTCTACCTTTTAACTGGAGAGTTAACTTACATTTAAAATAATTATTAATATTAGATTTATGTCTGCTTTTTAACAATTTCTTATATACTGTACCCTGTCTTTTTTATTTCTCAATTCTTCCACTGCTGTGCCATTTTAATAGCCTTGTTTTTTGTTTGTTTGTATACATTTTTGAGTTAGTTTCTTAGTGGTCACTTGGGGATTATAATTAAAACCTTAATTTATAACCATCTAGTTTAGATTAAAACAAATTTAATTTCAATTGTATATAAAAACCTTGTTCATATATTTCTGTCCCCTTTCTCTTGTTATTATCACAAATTTCATCTTTATACATATTGAGCCCATCAACACAGACTTATGATCATTGCTTTAAGCTGTTGTCTCTTAAATCACATAGGAGAATACAAAGAGTGATAAGCAAAAAATACATTCATACTGACTTTAGTATTTATGTAGTTTTACTGATGCACTTAACTTCTTTATGTAGATCCAAGTTACTGTCTAGTGTCTTCTTTTTAAGCTGGAATAACTTCCTCTAGTACTTTTTAGGTCAGGTTTGTTTTCAAAATAAATTGAAAAGTATTTTCAGTTGTTGTTTTTCTGCAATATCTTAATTTCGCCTTTATTTTTGAATGATAGATTTTCTGGGTATAAAATTCTTGGTTGCTAATTGAATATGTCTTCCCACTGGCTTCTGGTGTCCCTAGATTTTGATGTAAAAATTTGGTGTTAAAATATTATTGAGTATTCTTTGTATGTGATGAGCCACTTGCTTGCTGCTTTTAAGATTCCTTGTCTTTCTCTTTACAGAGTTTTTTATGAGGTGTCTAGCTCTGGGTCTCTGATTTGTGCTACTTGTAATTTCTTTAACTTCCTGAATGTGTCAATTAATGTTTCTCATCAAATCAGAACATTTTCAGCCATTATTTCTTCAAATACCCTTTCTGCCACTTTCTCTTTTATTCTCCTTCTGGAGTTCCCATTATGTATATGCTGGTATATGATGGTCTCCCATAAGTCTCTGAAGATCTGTTCCTTTTTCCTCATTCTTTTATCCTTAGACTGCATAATCTCAGACTATCTACCACTTTGTGGAGAAAGCTCTGCACAATCAGTAGTTTTGAGTCAGTTTTGTAAGTGGAGTCTTCCAGGAAATTATCTGTGGGAATTCACACAGGGTGGTAGCAAAAATATTAAGGGAAAAATATTAGAGAAAGTTATAGAATGTAGTTTCAAACGCTTTTGGAAGGCCTAAGGGTTTTTTTCTATAGTTCTTGGCTAAAGGCAGCCTTGTCCCCTTAGTTAAATAAATTAGATTAGAAACAAAGGAATGTGGGAGTTTACCTAACTAACTTGTTTACTCATGTGGTCTTAACACTAACCTTTGAGCCAGATAGCCCTCTGGCAGGTGGGAAGGTCAACCAGGGATATTACCCAATAATGGTGTTTGCTTTAGGCATCCGGAACCTGTCCCTTGATCTTTAACCTCTAGTGGTGTCGACTCAAGCCTTTGTCAATTAAACTTTATGAAATAAATGCAAATCACACTGGCTAGTGGGGGCTGGCAGTTGCAACTGTTTACAGTGCTCTCCAGGGAGACTGTAAGCAGCCATGGAACCTCAGCTGAACTGGCAAAGCATAATATCTGTGTGTCAGTGTATTTTATTCATTCATAGCTGAGTCAGGGTCTGCAGGACAGAGCCCTGCCGGTGTTGACCCCGACAGTGGCACCCAGTGGAGGTGACCCTGACAATTACCAAACAAATCAAATAATGACAAGGGTTTGGGAATAAAACCTGGAAATAAATCCAACTCCATTTTACTTCTGGCATCTGCCAGTATGTGCCAGGAATATTGGCTGTGTTTTCTTTTTTTTTAAAACTGCTGAGCTGAGAGGAACAGGGACAAGTCAAAATGCCATAAAGTTTCTTGTTCTTACAGAAATCCAGTTTTTCTTGAATAAACAATCCTCAGTTGCTGTAGTTTCCAGAGTTCTGAAAAAGTTGACTGTCATAATTTTTTGCCAGGTTTTTCATTGCTTTTATGGTGTTACTAATTTTTGTAGTTTTTACCCTGCCGTTTTCACTGACATTCTCCAGGATTTATTTTCTGTCCAAACCTTCTGAGGATCTGTGCATGCTGTTTTTCTAGGATAGGACCCTGGGACAGTGGAAAACTTCATATAGCCTGGAGACCTTGTCACAAGTGCATGAAATTACAGAGCACTCTGTGGAGGAAGGTGAGATTACATTCTAAGCAGCTGAGCTCTTGCTTGTAATGTGTAGGACAGATGAATATTGACTGATTAAAAAGTGAATAAAAAGTTTACAGCAAGAGAATAAAGTTATCTAAATGAGAGGAAAGATAAGGCCTAAAATTAGAGATCTAGAAACAACCACAAGAGAAGAAAAAAAAAAGAAATAAAAGCAATGATTTTTATTTAAAAAACACATAGTAAAATCAACTTTTCTCAGAAACCCAACATAGAAAGTTGGAGAGACCACAGAGGACACCTTTTCCTGTACATTCTTTCACATCTTTTGTCAGCCATAAACTTCGGGGTGGCAGAAACACTGCCTTCACAGAAATGCAAACTCAGTGCTGCTGCATTTCAGTCTCCTCAGGCCTCCCCTGCCTCCAAGCTGCCCTTCATCTTAACCCAAAGATAAGGTAACCAGGCTTCAACCACCCTCACTGGCCACAGCTACCACTTCAGCTTCGGGGCCCAAGAAAATCCAGGTCTTAGTGACCTCAATGCCAACCAAGTATGGGATTCACTGTATTTTAGAGCTCCATTTGTGGCCCACTTTAGATAAGCCAATCTCATAAAAACTGAGCTAGGATAACTCATTATTTTCAATTTGGGCTGCCAGACAAGTCGGTTACTAATAATGCTGTGTTTGTTGTCACAAAATAGTGCTGCTAATGCTGTGCTTATTATAACACAACAATTCACAATTTTGGTGAATGTACAGATCATACAGGTAATCTGTAAAATGCATATATTGAGGCCCACCCCTCAGAGATTCCAACTCAGTAGTTGGGTGGGGTGCACAGAAATCTGCAGTTTAAAATTTACCTCAAGTGATTCTGATACAAATGGCCTGCAGGTTATACTTTGAGAAAATCTGCTTTAAGAAGTCTGTGTCCACTTCAGTGGACAACAAAACATACAAACTGTAAAAATTCAGCTTCGTTTTTACAATTAAAATTCAGTGCTTAGGTTTACATATCAGAAATAAACTCAGGTTAGGATTTGAAAAATTACATATTTCCAAGCTAGAATACTTGTTTAGAACAAAGTATACATTTATCAATTACAGTCATACTTGGTCAATATAAACAGAAAAGTCTCTTTATATATATAAATAATATATATAACATGTAATTAATAACGTTGGGTTTCCTCAAAGAACTTGAATTGGCTACACCATGCATTCACTGTGCCAAAAAAAGAAATTTCAGTATAATATTAATTAGAGTTAAAGGAATAGTGTTATAATCCTGCTAATAAAATTGAGTGAGACTGGAAACCAAATATTTTTGAGAATGACAAAGTTTATATTTGTTTTTGCAAATAGATTAGAACTTCAAAAACCCAGGCGAGCAACACAAAAACGTAACATACTGGCAAAAGGAATTTAAGATCACGACACCAGTAATTACACATGAAGGCAGGTAACATCACTAAGTACTATCTGCTCAAGGTTCTCCAGCCTTCTATTTTCTTAAGTGACCACGAGCCATCTCAGTAAGCAATTTTTACCAAAACTTAGGTATTAAAATATACTAAAGGTGGCACTGTTGTCTCATGTTAACCAGAGGCCAAGCTTTCTAAAAATTTATCATAGAAATATCCTAGGTTGTACTTAGCTGTATTTCAGGCCTTATTCTTTTTTGTCATGGGTTACAAAGATATGAATTTTGGAAAAAAAATATTTATTGTATTTTTCATATAAATTGTTGAATTTAAATGAGTAAGTGGGGCAACACTGACTTTAGGATGAATATCAAATTTGACCTAGGTCAGTAGTGTACTAAAGAAAAAAAACAAACCCTTGACCAATTTCTTCTTGATATAAAGATTTATATTTGAAAAGTAGGCTGGCTGAGCATGGTGGTTCATGCCTGTAATCCCAGCAATTTGGGAGGCTGAGGCAGGCAGATTGCTTGAAGCCAGGAATTTAAGAACAGCCTGGCCAACATGGTGAAACCCCATCTCTACTGAGAATATACACGTTAGCTGGGCATGGTGGCACACACCTGTAATCCCAGCTACTTGGGAGGCTGAGGTATAAGAATCCCTTCAGCCCAGGAGAAGGAAGTTGCCAAAAAAAAAAAATAGTAAGCTAAGTGGATAACTTAAAGACATTAGTAACTGAATTTTTCTATGTATGTAATTTTTCCATGTGTGCAGTAACTGATAAGTGAAATATATCATACACTTCAAATGAGAGCAGGTAGATTTTGAGTGGTATATATAATTGATAAATAGCGGCTGACATATAGACATGCTTTAATTTAATCAAATTGACTAAGCATTTATAAACATGACATTAAATACCTTATTATTCTGAATTTGAAAGCTGCTTGACTTTCAAGAAGATTGCCCAACAAAATATTCTTTCAAACAAAATTATCCTACTTCATTTTAAATACAATTTAATTCTGAGTTTCTTTGCTGCTTTTCAGCAACAAACATATTATGTAATGCAAGGTGTAATTTAATTTTAGCAGCTGCTTATTCTCACATCAAATTTTCAAATGTGGTATCAGGAAAGAAAACATAATTACTTCTGAAGACTTATTTTTCTTTGGAATACATAATAATGATAATGTCATTTTGTTGAGTGTTCATTCATATTATTAATTTTGTACCATTACTCCATTCTACATATTTTCATTATTCTATTTCATGAATTATACTGCCATGTTCATTTTGGATATTAATGTTTTTATTTATTTTTCCTCTAGAATCTTAATAGCTACCCATTACTATAGGGAAAAACATAATATGCATCATATATACCTGATAGATGTCTTTATCTATATTACTTTAGTGAACACAAAAGTAATATAGATAAAGACATCTATCAGAGGCTCAGTAAAGATATGAAACCAGAACTACTGTATATTATTATTTTTCCGCATTCAAAAGCCCTGGACAGAATTTAATTTCCATTAGAATTCCTAACTGTACTAGCCACTAGCTGTGTGACTGAGGGCAAGTTTATTAAACTGTCGGTATCCAAATGCCCTCATCTGTAAAATGACAGCACTGTAGTAGTAACACCTACCTCATAAGTTTATTGGGAGGATTAATTGGGTCAATATATGTAAAGCCCTTCTTGGATTAATTGGGTCATACATGTAAAGCCCTTCTCGGTCTGTTTGGTATACCAACAGTATCACCACTACCACCAGTACTGTTACGACAATACAAATCGTTAGAAAGTATCTAAAGAGCTTACATGATACAGTGGAAGATTCTGGGCTTTAGGTAAATCAGACTTATGTTAGAACCTTCACTCTGCTCCTTCCTAGCTATGCAAACTCAGGCAAATTATTCATAGCATCTAAGGCTCATTTCATCTGTAAAATTGAGATGGTAATGACTACTCCCCAGAGCTTTTGTGAGAATTGAGAAGAATGAATGAAAACTACTAGGTAGAATAAGATGCACATAATAGTGCTCAAACAATTATAATTAGAATAATTAAACTCCTAGATCTCTCCAGAGTTTCTTTCTTGTTTATAAAATTAAAAAGTATCATTTTTTTCCTGATTAAAATTGTACGTGCTCATTTAAAACTTCTCATTTATATATTTTTTATTAAAATTTGTTTTTAGATATTAAAATATAAATGAAAAAGTAAAATTACTGATAATTTCCACACCCAGAACTAATTACTTTAACATATTGGTGTAGGCAATCTTTATTTTTTTCTGAGTGTATGCCTTTCCTTCTCCTACCCATAAATGTATTTTTGAAAAGTAGTGTTAGTTTAGGGTCACTAATGTCTCATGTTATGAAGTTCTAATATTAATAATAATGCATATCTGTGAACTAAAGTGAGAGAAAACATTTCTGATCTTTCCTCCCCACTATTCCTGATCTAGAAGGAAATGGGAATGGCCTTGAATAGTGAGCGACATGCAGACAGCTCTCCTTGTTTCTCTGTCCCTCGTGTTCTCTATCTTCTCTGGCAGGACTCAGTCTCCCTTGAGGCATCTCTGAAGCCCAGTAAGTGGTCCTGTGAGTGATGTGAGTCCAGCACTGGCTCCTGGATACAGCCTGAGACACATTCTCCTTCTTGCTACTTCTAAATCCAAGGCAAAGCTTTATTTTCCATGCTTGGTATCCTTCAAGACTTCCTTGTATGATACAAGCTATTTTACCCTCATTTCCTCCACAACATTTCAAGGTGTCATTTCTTTTTGTCTAAATATCCCCAATTCACAAAATTTTACATAACACATCCAATATATAAGTACTGAAACCAAATTTCTAGCTATCACAGAAAATATACACAGATATTTACATTATGTATATATGTTATATATATGATCTAGTCAAATAATATTTCATATAATAAACAATATATTTTATAATAAATGATGTATATTATGTTTATTATATATTATATATAATTACACATTAATATAGGGAAAAAATAATACAGCCCATATACAAACTTCTGTGTTCGCTAAAGTCATATAAAAACATCTATCAGAGAAACAGTAAAGATGTGAAACCAGTGCTACGGTATTTTGTTATTTTCCCCATTCAAATGCCCTTGATGGAATTTAATTTCAATTAGAATTCCTAGCTGTGCCAGCAACCAGCTGTGTTTTATATATATATATTATATATATGTATATATATATGTGTTATATATATATGTATATATATTATGTATATATATGTATATAATATATATATTATGTATAAAACATATATTATATATATACATTTATATACATATATATTATATAAGTATATGTGTATATGTAATATAATATTTATATATTATATTTATCTATATATATAATTCATATTTTTATATAATATATTTATTAAATTTAAGAGTATTTTGAGATATTTTTCTTTTGCACCATATTAGATATTAGTTTACCTTAGAGAGTTGGGAGAAAACAATTCTAGTCAATAGCATTGTACTATATGATGCTATTTTTCCCTGAAAAGCTTAAACTTTTTTCATAAATACCTCTTCCTTATTTTTGCACATTTTTATGAATCTTGTTTAAACATTATTCAGAAGTAGGTTTTCCTTATGAACAATATCTTCAATTGAATTCAGCAAGGTTCTGTATTTTTCCTTTTATTATTTATGATGGGATTATTTGTTTCCTGTCATAATGTATCTGGGTTTACAATTTATAATTGCTATAAACAACAGCAGCATGACTATTTTGAGCTTGTTGAGATAGGTGTAATACACTACTATAATAGAGAAATCAGAAGTATAAAGAGTTACAGGCAACTCATGAAAAAGCCCATTAGCCAAAACAAAAAACAAATCAAAACAGTTATTCTCTGATCCACTGAAATTCCTAATCCTCAGAAATGTAATGTAAAATCTAATCGTCCTATAAATTATCCTTGAAGAACAAAGTGGAAATGAGAATACCTTTGGTTAACACACAAGCACATACAAAACTGTGCTGTTTAGTTATTCTTTCATTTCAATAATTGTGAATATTTTCTTTGCACTTAAATCTTTAGCACAAAATTTTAATTCCGCTGATATTAAGCACATACTCTTACCTACTTCTTTGTAGTAGGAGAAAACAAAATTACTACATGGTTTGTACCACCCATTTTTTCAAGCAGTTTTCTATTGATTGATAGAGAAAAAGGAGAGAGAGAATTTGGTGGGTGCCAGGAGTGGGGGCACAGTATGAGCTAAGAGATTTTTGTTTGAACCACAGAGGAAGTAGGAATAGGGTAGTGGTTACTTTAAGGTCTAACAAAAGTGGCAGCTTGTTGGGAAAAACATAGAGAAAGAGAACATGGTAACATGCAAAGAAAAATAAACATAAACAACTAATAGATTATTTTCTTTTCCTTGTTTTTTTTTTTTTGAGACAGAGTCTTGCTCTGTCACCAGGCTGGAGCGCAGTGGCACAGTCTTGGCTCACTGCAACCTCCACCTCCCGGGTTCAAGCGATTCTTCTGCCTTGGCCTCCTGAGTAGCTGGGACTACAGGAGCATGCTAAACGCCCAGCTAATTTTTGCATTTTTAGTCGAGACGGGTTTCACCAAGTTGGCCAGGATGTTCTCGATCTCTTGACCTAGTTATCTACACGCCTTGGCCTCCCACAGTGCTGGGATTACAGGCGTGAGCCACCGCGCCCGGCAATTATTTTCATTAGAACTTGGTGGGTGTGAGTGATCAATTGCAAAATAATCAAAAGGCTCAAATTCAGCTGTAGATAATCCATAACACACGATTACGGAATGTTAGGTGGGGCCAGGAAACCTTCACAGCTGAAGACCAGAGAAGGGAAATGGGCCTGAAACACAGTCTCAGAGAGCAAGCTGCAAGGAAGTGGCTGCCAAAGCCAATGGCCTGTGCAACCACAAGGGAATCAACGGGCGAATTCAGCTTTCGATGTGGCCTGCAAGGAGTTTTCAGCTTCCGTATGACATTTACTCACAGAATAATTGTGTTCTCTTCTAGTAGGCAAGGATAGGAGATTGAAGCCTTGTCTGCCATTTCAGACATTCTCTATATGCTGGGCTGTGGGGGTGTTGGATTTAGGAGGGGAGGCAGAAGTATAATGGGCAGATGTTTGAATTTTGACATGACTATCCAGGGAATGTGTGAAAGTGTTTTTATGTAAAACACTATGGAGTGGTAGTGCAGCCACTTGTTCAAAAAACAATGTTTGAACACCCCAGTGTCTGTTCTGGGAGTTATCCACATTAACACACACGAACAGCAAAGAGAAGGCAACTCTGTGGCTCCTGTACTACCACTTCCTGTGCCTATGTCGGACATTGATAAAAGATCACAAAACTTTCTCATTGAGCCTGAACACAGCCTCAGAATCTTGCCAACACAGCAGGCCAGGATGCCATTAGGATTTACACATACCTGAGGTCGCTGGTGTGGCATGTTCATGCATTCATTTAATAAACACTTATTGCATCTCCCGCTAGTGCATGAGACGGAGAAAGAACACTGACCCTGCCCAATGAGCGAGGAACAGCAGAAGAGGCTGCACAGTGTGATGCCCTTGGAATTTCTGCAGTGTGATGTGTTGCTTTGGAAGCACGCTCAATACATTTGGGTTGAAATGGGAACTCTCGGTGTCATAAACTTTTATAGTTTTTCTTTGAATTTTAAGACACATACTAGAATCTATACATTCTAATAAAGTAAGCCTAGCAATAACAGTTTTCTCTTAACTTCCGTATACACAAACCTCAATAAACTCTCTCCTGATCAGGTCCAGGCAGATAATAGAAGCAAGCAAATACCTGAACAGAGTTGTTGGCAATCAATAAATAAGGGTAATAATAACAGGAGTAGCTTGTACATATCCTTTCATTTGCTCATTCAGCAAACATTGTGGGGTGCTTATTGTGCATATTGGATCTAACTAGGGATAATGCAAGGGATGAAACAGGCAAATATGGACAAAACTCCTCATTCTTCTACCTGTGCCACCGCAACATGAAAATCAACGGCATAGTCAGCTTGAGATGTGGCCTGCCAGGAGCTTTAAAGCTTCCATATGACATTTACTCACAGAACAATTGTGTTCTCTTCTAGTAGTCAAGAATAGGAGATCGAAGCCTTGTCTGCTATTTCAGACATTCTCAGTGTGCTGGGCTGTGGGGGTGTTGGCTTTAGGAGGGGAGGTGGAAGTAAAATGGGCAGGTGTTTGGGCAAAATTCATATTCCATGACTATTCAGGGAATGTGTGAAAGTGTTTTTATGCTATGGAGCAGTAGCACAGCCAATTGTTCAAAAAACAATGTTTGAACACTCCAGTGTCTCCTCTGGGAGTTACCCACATAACACACATGAATAGCAAGAGACAGTGACTCTGTGCCTTGCAGTCTAATAGAGGAATATAAACAATAAATAAATAAAACTTTGTTTCTTAGAGGACGATAAGGCCTAAGAGTTTGTGTCTTATCATAAGTGTGTTGTATGTCCACTAAAAATTCTGGATGATGACAAGGCCTGCTTTGGTGGGGGCTACCATCAAGTGTTTGAATTCAGATAATGGGGCCCAGGAAAAAAATAGAGGCTTTTACATTTTATGTATGCCCTTTTGTATTGCATGTTTTTTTTTTAATTGCATGTTTTTTTACATGCATATATTATTTTTACAATTAGGCAATCTAGCTTAAATTTGACAAAGAATATAAATAGAAAATACACATTCTTTCAGATTTCAATTACTAGATTGCCCAGTGGGATATAAAGCTTACAGACAGAGGCTGTTGGAGATTTCCCCTTGATTCTCTTTTTTGAAAGCAACAAGCTTCCTGGTCAGGTATATTGAGAGCAGTTTATATTTTGAAAAAATAAACCAGAATACTCTTTCACCAGAAAACTCTTCTTCTAGAATTGAAGAATTTGTAAACTATTTTAAGAGCTTATATTTAATGCTATATATTCTCAACAAATATAATTTTATAGGTAGAAAAATTTCGTATATTTTTTAAAATGTTCAGAAGTATAATCAATTAGTAATTTTTACTAACTAGACAAAATGTGCTTAAATTACATCTAATATTTTTTTCTTATGAACATACAGTAAAAACCTTGAAGCATGTAATCAATTAACAGAAAATCAACAGGAAATGTCACAGGATATAGAGTACAAATTATAATGTATAATAAAACAATAAAATTATATTTTCATGACTAAATAATTTATTATTAAATATTTAAATATCAATTTATTATTCAAATGTAAAGTGCATGTATAAACATTTAGGGTGACATACCTTTGGCATCATTTTTCTTTAAGTCTTTCAGTGCTTGAACAAATGTCAGCTGACTTTCAGTGAGAGGCCAACTGTTGTACAACACCAAACACTGTATAATATACTTGTAATTCTGTGAAATAAAGTGCAGTGTTTAAAAATGATAAGAACATACATGGTATTTGCCTAATGTCATTATTCTAGGTACATGATAAATTTATAATTTTCTAGATCAGTCGTAATTTAGTTAATTAATGCTGGATATTTTCCAAAATTCTGTTTTAACACTTGAGTTTCTAAAAGTTTAATAGCCTTGCATCCCTAACAATGCTTTCCACTACCCATCTTTATAATTTTTGCTACTGCTGTCGGTAGAAAGTGAAATCTCACTGCTATTGTATTTGGCATTTTTAAGATTACTATAGAGTTTGAGTATTTTTTAAAGCTGTTGGCCTTTAGGGTTTCTCTTCTTTGTGATCATGGCACAAAAAAATAGTCTTCTATGTTATCTATTATCAGTTTTATGGATTGAAATTTTACAATGAAATCTTCACTATATCTGGAATACCTTTAGGTATGATGTTAGCTAGCGATCTAGTTTTATTTCTCTCCATGGAGATGTAAATTTCCTAGTACAACCTACTCAACAGTCTATCTTCTCTTCATTGGTTTATGGTGTTGCCTCTATTCTATATTAAATTTTCATTAAAATATGGATCTGTTTCTATCTTAGTTTCTCTTATTGCTCCATTTACCTATGTGTGCATTAATTAAAACTATTTTTACTGCAATAACTTTTTGTCTTTGGAAATATTAAGATGTACTTTTCTTTTTTTTCCCCCCAAGTTTCCTTAGCTATTTGTGAATTATTATTCATCCCTATGAATTCTAAAGTTTTGTATTTTTAGAAAATTTTGGAAAAACACGGTGGGGATTTTGATTGGGATTGCATTGAATTTAAAGGCAGACTGAGGATGACATGTCTTTATACTGTTATATCATCTCACTGAAAAGCATGAAAATGCTTCTCTATGTATTCAAGTCATCTATATTCTTCAGTTGGTTGGATCACTTTCTATAGACTTTATTCAAGTGGTAAGCTTTTCTATGTGGAAAAGTGATATAATTTTGGTTAATTCCTGGGTATTTTGCGATTTTGTTTCTATTATGAAAGGCATCATATTCTGATGTCTAATGCATAGTACTGGTATAGAGGAAAGCTACTGATTTCGGTAAGTTGTAGAAGCAGCACAGCATAGTGATTAAGGGCATGACATCATGAGCTAGAGCTGTCTGGGTTGATGTCTTGCTGTAGCACAAACCAACTGTTTGGCCTTGAACAAGTCACTTATGCTTTCTGTGCTCAAGGTTCCTTGACTGTGACATTGAGATAATAAGAATACTTACTTCAAGAGGCTGAGGTGGGTGAGTCACCTGAGGTCAGGAGTTCGAGATCAGCCTGGCCAACATGGTAGAGAAACCCTTTCTCTACTAAAAACACAAAAAATTTAACAGAGTGTGGGGGGCAAGTGCCTATAATCCCAGCTACTCTGGAGGCTGAGGCAGGAGAATCACTTGAACCTGAGAGGCAGAGGTTGCAGTGAGCTGAGATTGCACCATTGCACTGCAGCCTAGATAGAGTGAGACTTCATCTCGGAAAAAAAACGAAAACCAAAAACCAAAAAAAGAAAACAAGAAAGAAAAAAGAGTTGATGGGGAGAAGTAAAGATCTATGTGCGAAGTACATAGTATCAGGTGCATAGTAATTGATAAGTACATCAGTATATTAGTTATTGCTATTAATATTTTTGACAATCTTAAATTCTCTTAGTTCCGAAAATTGCTAAAATCTCTTAGTTCCGAAAATTGCTTATTCTGCTGTTTTTTCTTGGGCATATGATCATATTATCTGTGAATAACTCAATGATTATTTAGAATAATCTTTTAGTTATTTTGTTCCTTGTATCATTGGTCTGGCTTTCCATTATCATAATATTTCAGTATCAATAAATACTAACAATGATAGCAAACATTCTTTTCTTATTCCAATTTAAATAGGAACACACTTAAGCTTTCTACATTACTATAATGTTTTTGTGTATGAGATTTGTCCATTAAGTGTAAAATTTTGGGCATGTAACACTTATGATTAAGAAGTTCTCTCCTATGCCTAGTTTGCTAACAGTACTTTTTCGAAATCCATAAATAGGTGTTAAACTTTATCAACTGTTTCAGGATTATGATTGTTCTCATCTAGTCTATTACTGTAGGGACTAATACTGACAGATTTTCTAATGGTAAAAGATTTCTGAATTTCTGAGAAGAATTCTGATTGCTTAATATACTGTTAGAAATGGATACCAATTATGTTATTTGTAATTTTTCATCTATATTTACAAATAAAGTTTATTCATTTTTGTGTTACTTTTATTTGGTTTTGGAATCAGGATTACATTAACCTCTTAAAAAGGATTGGAAAGTTATATTGCTTTTTTGTTTTCAAATACAAATTACTTTTCAGAAGTCTCTTAGGTCTATCCTACTAAGCCAAATGGGCCCATGGTTTTTTGGAAAGGGAAGACTTAGAGGACTTTGAATTGTCATTTCAACTTTATTATTCTTTACTGTTTTATTCAGATTTTATATTTTCTTGTGAGTCAACTTTGCCATTTCTCCTCTTCTCCACCCTCAGGAAGTTATGTGCTTCCCCCTCACCCCCAGGCTTATTTTATTTTATTTGAGACAGTCTTGCTCAGCCAGGAGTATAGTGTTGAGATCTCAGCTCACCGTAACCTCCACCTCCCGAATTAAAGCAATTATCATGCTTCAGCCTCTCAACTAGCAGGGATTACATGCACGTGCCACCACGCCTGGCTAATTTTTTGTTTTTGTTTTTTGAGACGGAGTTTCGCTCTTGTTACCCAGGCTGGAGTGCAATGGCGCGATCTCGGCTCACCGCAACCTCCGCCCCCTGGGTTCAGGCAATTCTCCTGCCTCAGCCTCCTGAGTAGCTGGGATTACAGGCACGCACCACCATGCCCAGCTAATTTTTTGTATTTTTAGTAGAGATGGGGTTGCACCATGTTGACCAGGATGGTCTCAATCTCTTGACCTCGTGATCCACCCGCCTCGGCCTCCCAAAATGCTGGGATTACAGGTGTGAGCCACTTTACTTGCCACCCCCCCTCACTCCCACTAACCCTTAGATTTTAAATTTGCTAGCACAGAGCTGTTTCTAATACTTTTTTAAAAACTCATTGTTATACTTCTACCCTAATTTTTGTTCTGTATTTGATTAATTTATATCTTCTCTCTTTTTTTCTCTTTTCTTAAATGGTCTTACTAGACATGTATATTTTATTAATCTTTAAAAGCAGGTTGGGCTTTATTAATATTTTTTATTCCACATTTCATTGATTTCTGCTCTCATAGTTATTAAAATCCTTTCTTCTTTTATCTTTGAGTTACTTCTTTGTTCTTTTTCTGACCTTTCATTTCAGTAGCTTAGGTCATTTATTTTTAATCATTCCTGCTTCCTAATTAGTCTAAAAGCAGCATTGTATATTTTACTATTAAAAATAGTGGTAAACAAATGCTATTTTAGATGTTGCATATAAATTTTAATTATTATTGAATCCTATTTCATAATGTCTTTTCTAATATTCTTTTAAAGGATTATTTAGTATATTTTATTTAGTTTTCACATTTATAAGATTTAAAACTTGCTGTTAATTACTAGTTTCTAGTTTATTGCCTTATGTTCAGGTAAGAATGTAAACAACAGGAATAACTGGATTTTATTGAGGCTTCCATTTATTGTCTATTTTGGGATATTTAAACATATCTTGTGTGTGCTTAAAAAGTATCTTCTCTGTTTACTGGGTAAAGTGTTCCATATATATATCTATGATTAAGTTTATATTTAGATTTTTTTCAAATTCTCACAATTATATTTACTTATTTTGTAGCTTGATCTGTCAGTTTCCAAGAAACATGGGTTAAAATCTTTAATTATTCATAATTTACTTGCCTTTTTATTTCTGTAGTTCTAATAGTTACTGCTTTTTATTTCTTGTATCTGGATGATTAGGTGCCTATGTATTAGTTATAGTCATATCTACTTGATTTATTCTACTTTTTATTTTCATATAATGTTCCTATATGTATTGAGATATTAAAACTATCACCAGCCTGGGCATGGTGGCTCACCAGCCCTTTGGGAGGCTGAGATGAGCAGATCATGAGGACAGGAGTTTGAGACCAGCCTGGCCACATGGTGAAACCCCGTCTCTACTAAAAATACAAAAAATTATCCAGGTGTGGTGGCGGGTGCCTGTAATCCCAGCTACTCAGGAGACTGAGGCAGGAGAATCCCTTGAATCAGGGAGGTGGAGGGTGCAGTGAGCTGAGATCAGAGCATTGCACTCCAGCCCAGGTGACAGAGAAAGACTCCATCTCAAAACACCACCACCACCACCACCACCACCACCACCAACAGCAAACTATCATCACAGCTCTCTCTTGGTTCATATTTTCCAGGTATGTTTTCCTATCTTTCTATCATTAAACTTTTTATAGCATTTTGTTTAAAAATGTCACTTTTGGTCTACTTACAGTTAGATCTTATTTTTATATAACTTTAAATTTTTAGCATTTTAATTGATTGATTGATTTGTATTTATTGTTATTTCTGTGGTATTAACAATTATTTCTGGCATTTTATTTTCTTTTCAATTATTTTAATTTAATTTAATTTCACTTTACTTTTTGGTTTCCAATGTCTAGGTCATGCTTTTGTCTGATGTTTTATAAATATATGCATTGTCCTTTTTCCCTTTAATTTTAAGCACATGCAAAGTAATTTTTATTAAATATGACCTTTAATATGTGACCCTTATTAATATGTGACCTTCAAAGTTATATAGCCTCTTATAACCCAACTATAAAATCAGGTAATTACAGGCAAATTATAGAGTTCACATACAGATTAAATTTGCCATGTTTTTAAAGATCTTGGCATAAAGAAACTGTTCGAGATTCTCTTATTTTCCAATTGTGGCTATACATTAGGAGCACTGCACATTATATGTTAACTATTTTTAGGGAAAAGATTGTTTTATGTTAGATTTTTAGGAACAGTCCAACTGAACAATTGTGTTTACTATACCTGTGGTGGTGTGGTGGAACTGTCTTCTGCAGTGGGTGTACTGGTACTTTCCTCCTCCAAAAGAGGTAGACCAGTGTCTTGTATTGTACTTAAGAGTCTAACCTTAGGGGATTTCTGACTTCCCTGAGCGGATTTCTTCTTAACATACACTTCTTGCTCTTTCTTGGATGCAGAATGAAATGAAAGAACGTGCTTGCTAGCTGAATAGGAGAAATACTAAGTTAAAGTTAAAATATGTGATATACATAATTATTACTGAGTAAGTTAGTTACATCTCTTTATAAAACACTCAAAGGAATAGGTCAATTCTTTTTGTTTTAATGAGATAGAAAAACATTATGACTGGTTTATTGATCTTAAAGAAATCTATAATAATAACATGTGACATGCACAGAGCAATGTATATTCTGAGTAACCACTTAATCCTGAAAGAGTATACAACAATTCAACAATTTTTCATTTATTTTGTGCCACTCGAATGACCCTAAGCTAACACCACACACTCTAATTTTCTCAGTGTTTAATGCCACATATGTATGTTACCACACTTCTAAAAGACTTTCTCTTTACTTTTCAATTTTATATTATTTTATAATTAACAGATAGTATAAGTACCACTGATAGGTTTTAAAATGGAAATGTAGTGAATGTTATTAATTCATGAAATGTGTATTGAAAGAACATAAGTGATTGACTCAGGGATATTCTAATTTCAGCCATGACATTGGTCTTATTTTTCCACCACAAAAAATGATAAAAATGTGCCAAGTGTATAAAGCAACTATTTTTAGCCACTGGAAAATATACAGTGCAGGATTGTGATCCTTGAGACAAGGGAAGCATACAATCAAGGGTGATCTCTTGATTTCCAGAGACTTCTTCCTGCAAACACCTTCCCAACTTTATACAGGGAAGTATAGACCAAAGTAGTGGACAGCAGTGCTGCTAGGTTTAGGAACAGAGATGAGTGAGCAGGGCTCCTGCGACAACTGAAATCTGAGGTAGGATATCAGAAGGGAGCATATGAGCAGTAAAGGAGCTTAGAATAGACATGGGGTCCACTCGAGTCTTTAGCTGAATTCCAAACTTCATTTGTACAAACACTCAACAATACCAGGCAAACAGTAACTACTGGGGGTTCGTGAGCTTAATGAAGAGTCTGGTAGTTGCACAGTGTTGGGAGACATTGAAATTCTGACCTGTCAAAATGAAGGGAATTCAATGAATACACTGAGCATCCAGTTGAAATTCAAGAAAGGCCAAGCTTTAAGAGTAGAACTACTCTAACACTAGTGTCATGGTAACTCTAGAACTGACTTAATAAGCTCAGGACCAAGAACCAGCTAAGCTGCCAATAAATTAACTGCCCACCAGAACAAGATTCAACACTCTTTCAATTAAAAGAGCATAATCTAGACTCTTAGCAGTGTAGCACACACAATATACAGCACACAATTTGATATAAGAAGCAGAAAATGTGAGAATAATATTACATATATAAGAATATATAATAAATGAGATAATGATAACTTGAGAATATAGTCAATAGAAATAGATACAAATGTTGAACTCATCCAAAAAAGGACTTCAAAATAGCTATTTAAAATGTGCTTAAGGATTTATGAAAAAAGATGAACATACTGAGTGAGCAAATGGTGAATATCACAGAAAAATGAAATATATGAAGAATCAAAATGAAATTTCAGATCTGACTATATCTGAAATAAAAAATATCTGGATAGATTTAAACAACAGATTGTCAAATTCAGAAGCAAAGATTAGTAAACTCGAATACAAGCAAAAGAAATGATTGAAATAGAAGCATGGAGTGAAAAAACTTGAACAGAGGATAAGTGATTCATGGTACGGTACTGTGGGAGGTGAAATAGTGACCCCCCCCCCAAAAAAAGATATGTCCACCCAATACCTTAGAATGTGGTCTTGTTTGACATAAGGGTGTTTGCAGTTCTAATTAAAGAAAAGATCCTAAGAAGACATCAACCTGGATTAGGATGAGCCCTAAATCCAATGATGGGTGTCCTTAAAGGAGCCAGAAAAAGGTAAAACACAGAGACCTACAGAAATAAGAGGGTCATGTGAAGATGTTGGCAGAGATAGGCCAGAGTTAAGCTGTCTCCATACAAGGAATACCGGGGAAAGCTAGAAGAAAGGAGAATAGGTTCTCTCCTAGAGCTTTCAATGGCAGTATGACCTAGACAACATCTTGATTTCAGACTTCTGTCTTCCAGAACTGTGAAAGAATGAATGTTCGTTTGTTAAGTCATCCACTTTATGTTAACTTGCCATGGCAGTTCTGGAGAATGAATACTGATATCAAATTGCCTAAAGCATGTGTTTTTAGTCCTAGGTAGAGCACCACTAAAAATAAAATACTGTATATGCAAAATCTGCTGATTTACAATATAAAAGTTGCTGACAGAAATTGAAGACTAAAATTGAGGTATGTACTGTATTCATGGACTAGACAGCTCAGTTTTGTTATGAAGTTAGTGCTCCTCAAGTTCAATGCCATCCAAATCCAAATCAAAAGATACAATTTTGAAGAAAATGTAGTGTTGGAGGAATATTAGTTATTTAGATAAATTGATTCAGAGTCCAAACATAGACCCATACACACATGGTTCAGTAAATTTTGACTAAAATATCAAGGTAATTAAATAAAGAAAATATCATCTTTCCAATACACAGTGCCAGAACAACTGGATATGTACATGGGATAAAAATAATCTTGACCCCCTACCTCAAACCATACATAAATATTATTTCAAGATGCTTTATTAAACATTCATGCTAAGATTATAAAATTTCTAGGATAAAACATGAAATAAAATATTCATGGTCCTAGAGTAGGTAAAGATTTCTTAGATAAAATACAAATAGCGCTTTTTTAACAACTTCAATTTTATAAAAATTAAAAGCTTTTGTTCTTTTAAAGTTGCTGGTAAGGAAGTGAGAAGACAAAGCTTAGAATAAAAGATCATATTGGCAAAGCATATATTTGATGAAGAACTTGTATCCAGAAGATACAGAATATATGAAGAACAGGTTAATAATAATAATAATAAAGACAACTATAAGATAAGAATATGGGTGTAATGTGTGAATAAATCCTTTGATCAATAAGTTATACACATGGTCAGTAAGCACACATAAAATGCTCAACATTTTATGTCAATAAGGGAAACACAAATTAGACTACAAAGAAATAGTATGATATATACACTAGAATGATTGATTAAAAACATTGATGACAGTAAAATGAGCAAAAATGTGAGATACCAGAATTTTTATAGCTTGTTGGGAATGTAAAATGATACAATCCATTTGATAAACTTTTTGCCATTTATAAATAAATGTATACATATGTCAAACTCAGACATATTAATTCAACTCCTGAATATAGATCCAAGTGAAATGAAAACATAAAGTCCAAAAAAGGATTTGTACAAACATGTCCTCATCAGCTTTAGTCACCATATCCTAAAACTCCAATAAACCCATATATCCAATAGGAGAATGGATAAACGAAGTGTGGTATCTCCATGCAATGGAATTAATACTCAGAAATATGGATAGAAATAGAATAGCATTATATGCAATAACATAGCTGTAAGTTGAAAACATTATGCTGAGCAAAAGAAGCCTATGTCAAAGATAAATACTGTATGGTTCCAATTTTATGAAGTTCTAGAACAGGCAAAACTAGTCTACTGTGATGGAAATGTGAACAGTGATTGCCTCTTTGGGGGTGAGGAAATTGAATGGAAATGGCCTGCAGTATCTTCTGGGTAACAGAAATGTTTTATATCTTGTTAGCAGTGTGGGTCACACTAAAGTATGTACTTATCAAAACGTTGATTTGTACTTTTTACTGTATATAAATTATACTTTAATAAAAAATTAAAAATGTATAACAAAAAGGCCCTGTCCTTTACTTCCTTCCATCCACTAGCCATTAATTTATAACTAATTTTTTTACAAAAAAATTAGAAACACATAGGAAAAAGGGCAAATTTCCATAATATATGATATTATATAAATCAATTAGAAAAAAGTAGCTAACTTCAAAAAAAAATGGTAAAGCACTTAAAAATTTGCAAAGAAGGTAATACAAAAAGGGAATCTAAGACATAAAAACATGCTAAAATCTCACTAAAGACAAATTAAATATAAATTAATATTTTTAGCATTCAGGTGACAAAAGTCAAGAAATACAATCGGGGGAGTATGGATAATACATTTACACAAACTCAGTAGAGGGCAGCTGGACAATATATGAGAAAATTACAACACATATATCCATTCACTGACCCAATAGTTCTACTTCTAAACATTTATTAAATATATGTGCATGTACAAGTTCAGAAAATTATATATGCAGGTTATTTGTAAAAATTCATCCTTGAATTTTAAAGATTGGGTGTATCACAGATCACTCTTTGTAGGAGCCTCATATAGCCATATGAGGTAAAATAATGTATTATTCCTTGTCTATAGGGCTTCCTCGAATACTCAATTACTTATAATGTAATTTTAAGGAAAATTATAAATTTCCAAAAGTACAAATTTTAAAATTAGAAATTTTACAGAACATTCAACATCACAAAATTTATATTAACATTTTAGCATGAGTATTAGTAAAAGATTTTATTCTTGAAAAATTGTAAGAGATACAGATATTCCATAAATTCCTATGATATGATACAAAACCTAAAAAGATCTGTATATAAGATTTGTGACTGCCTCACTTTGAACTTCTGCATCCTTGCAATGGAGTTTATCTCTTTTTTAGCCCATGGTAAGATTGTTTGTGTACAGAGTACATTTCAAGGTAGTGTGTCATATCCTGTAAACACAGACAGACACACATATTTTTTGCATGTATTAATATTTTTGGTGAGGGTACTCCAGAAATACATAAAGGAATTGTAAATAGATTTATTTCCAAGAGAAGCTGCTGAAAAGAGTAATTTTTAAATGTAATGTCTGCTTATATATAAACACAAATTAATAGCATCAATTTAAAAACAACATCCCGTTTGAAGTCTAAATGAAGAAATTATCTAATTCACAATAGTAGTTCTATCAATCTGTATGGAGAAACTTTTTAATCTTTTCCATGAAACACAAAGGAGGTAATGAATAAATGGAAATAGTCTTTTCTTGCATGCAAATTTGA